GGTAAGATTATTTCTTGATATGACTGTATTACTGAATAAAGGTAATAAGAAGAGTAGATATTGAACCAGTAGTATATAGCTGAAGGAAGAAATAATAAATAATCCAAAGAATATCCTGGTTCCCCTACCTTATAGAATTGAGATATTTATTTTAGAATTCAAGTATGTAGCTGTGCCTGCTTTAATAGACTTAACTATCGGAAGGCCTTGATGGGAGAAAAAATCTATAGACCATTCTAAAGGACTAAAGAAATAATTGAGAAGTTTAGGATAAAGAAAATTCATAACCTAATAATCAAACTACTCTTACTATAAATAAAATTATTCTGGAAAAAATTAAGAAGAAATCACACATCTTTCCAAATAGATAGTAGTTGTACATAAAGGTAGAATAGGTATAACTACTTATATAGATAGGTTTACTTTATATATGCATAATTACTTGTTGATTATATGTAAAAATGGAATTGTATTTATACAACTTGATCACCTGTATAAGCATATAAGTTAAAAAAGATATAGATACATTAGTTTGGATCATTATGAACAGAAATATAGAAGAAGAAGAACTAATTATAGAAAAATTAAGAAAGAAAGGTGAGAGTATAATAACAGTAAGATACTATGTTCAGGATCTATGCTCACCATATTTGAAGCCATATATAGGATGTGATATCAATAATACAGTAATCAAGGATATCTGTATTATGGAAATCTCAAACAAGAATACGATAGCCATTTCAGGTAGCTGCACACAGGTCTTCTAAACTGAAGTGTAGGCAAAGAAATCAAGCTTTTAGTATTATTATAAAGCATTAGAACCAGGTTTAATCAAAAAAAGAAATACAATATATGGAAACTCGAAAATATTTATATCCCTAAACAAATTAGACCAAGAAAAGTGCCTTGTTTGGATCAAAGATAGTGTAACCTCCAAAAAAGTCAATCAAATACATCTGCAAATAGAAAGATGAATAAGGGTTAGGGTAACAATAGATGTTAGCTATTTCAAGAAATTTTATACTACTGCATTTCAAGTTGAAAACCTTGAATCAGAAAGAAAAACTGAGATCACATTCTTTAAGATCCTTCACAGAATGATGCCAAATGAAATGGAGTTAAACATATTTGTAATAGTAATAACTTTCTTTCTATCTGGAGCAAGGTTAATATTAAATATGGATAGTCAGATATTAGCCATAGCATTTAAAATAATCAGAAATAAGAGCAAAATTGCAAAACTAGTTTAGCATACCAAAGATCTCATCAATAGGAAATACATGGAGATTCAGATTAAAAAGATCAGATGGAATAGCATTAAAATCCACCTCAAAGTGAATGGCGAGATCAGGAGGGTGAAACTCAAATGGCAAACCACAAGTTTGAACATTACACTGCTCAATAGAAATATTCTAGAACTGAAATACAAGGGCTAGTGGACCAACTGTAACAGCAGGGAAGCAGTGTAAAACAACTTTAAAAACAAACAAATACTGGAATAGTGCAACCTGAAAAGGAATTTTGATCATATCCACCTTAGTAATGAAATTGATTAGGAAGTCACAGTTAACTTTCTAAGACTAAAGAAGATGACAACTAGGTAGACAAATGCAGAGAATCATCAAAGGAGATTCTTTAAACTGAAATCCTAGGCATAGAAACTGCTGATCATGATTAAGTTTTATACTCAAAGAAGGAATCTATATAAGTCCAACAGATGTGTAAGATACAACATGCTAAAAGAAGATTAAGCATATGTATATACATGTGAGACAAATGAACTTGACTTCGGCATACAAATTCTAGAGTCAATAACAATCTATTTGCAAACTAGAAAAAAATGAAGCAAGATCTGGGTTCAAGGATAGGTTGCAAAGATTAAACCAAAAAGAGTGAAACTCTGAACCATATTGATAGCTAAAAGTCTAGTTTTCAAAGATATAGCAAGACTAGTCTGTATCTGGGCCAGATCTAGAGGAAGAAAACCAAACATATTCTCTTAAAGTATCTGAAGAGATCCAGAATCATGCCAGGAAGATCTGACAATGACAATATGAGATAGTAAGTAAATGGAAAATTGCTCAAAAGATCACAAAGACCAAAAAGAGAGCAAGAGGATAATAGAGCCAGAATACTTCATATAGTTATCCCGAAAAGCCAATGTATACTAATGGTTTGGAATGGAAGAAAACCAAAACCTTCAAGTTCCTCTTAATGCAAAAACTCAATGAAAATAATACTAACTTAACCTAGGCAAGTTAGTTTTTCAAAAGGAAGATAACAGGTCATAGAGATCTTTTAGAAATCCAAACCAGAAGGTATCTTTTTCTAGTAATTTTAACATAAATAAGACTATGTAATATTTGAGTAAAAGCTAATAAAAGACCAACTGAAGGCTGAGCTATAAAAAAAAAAAAATTAAGAATCTTTTTATTTTGAATCAATCATGATAGATAATTTATTCAAATATAAAAATAGATAATTTGCTAAGATTTTAGGATAATAGAAAATATTTAAAATTGTTATTATAAATATGTAAAAGATTTGATCTTAATAGAACAATTTTTTAAAATAAAGTTATAAAAATATATAAAAAATTTTTATTCTTAAAAAATTATTTACTAAATTAATTGCAAAAATAATAAATAATACTTATTTAAAAAATAAAATTAATATATTTTCAAGTTCAGAAACTCTAGAATTCAGTTATTTATTGATATTCAAATCTGAATATCATTAAGATGTAACTGAGGTTTTGGACAAATCTCCTACAATTAGAGAAATAATTCCATTGTCATTTAAAATTAAAAAACTATAAATAAAAATTTAAGAATCAAACTTACAAGATTTGATAATATGTAATCAATAATTCTTAAATCTGGTTCAGAATCTTCTAAACCTGAATATAGAAGATTGAAATAATTAGAATGAAGATTAACTGATTGAAGATTATAAAGAATAAGTATTAAGATGGTAAATTGAGAAGAAAAGATGATTTTAATGGGAAAATTTTATAATTGCAATTATAAAAAATAAATATTTCAATTATCGATTCCAATAATATTTATTTTTATATTTAAAAATATATATTTATTATTTTTTAACCTACAATTTATAAATATATCATATTGAATATAAATATAGAATAATAATAAATAAATAATATAAAATAACATTAAATAAATAATATTAAGTTAAATTAAATTATTCTTGAATAATACAAATTTTATTTCATGTATTTATTATCCAAATCGATCTTTTAAAATTTTCATTTATTAAGTTAAAAAAATGAAAATCTTTATATTTATATTTTTTATTAAATTATAGACATATTTTTAAAATTTCTGGTTATTAACGAACCAATGAAATTGTTCTATTGTTACTGATGATATAAAAAAAAAAGCAATAGTAATTATATACTTATCAATAGTTAAAGATGAATTTTAAAAGAAGGTAAAAATAAAAGTTGAATATTTTATATTAGAAAATATTAAAAATTTTAAATTGATAATTATAAAAAAATTATTTAAAATAATTTTTATTATTAAATCTTTTTAATTTATAATATTTCTTGAATTTTGTCTTTAATAAAATAAGGAGCTATGAATTTTGTTTTTCAAAAAAAGATATAAGTAATCTGTAAAATTTATATATTAAATATTTTAAAAATTTATTATTAATTTTAAATATTATTTTATTTATTGAATTATTTTTTTATAAAACTTATTATAATTTATCTATGAAATAACTATATAAAATATTGAATAGATTTCCTATTTTGATAAGATCTTTTTTAACTAATGTATCTTAGGTTTATTTAGTACTATATTTTATATTTTATAGTATACAGATTTTTAATCTATTTGTTAAGATTTATATAAATCTATTTTTAATGAGATGACTTTAGCATTCAACTAGCCAAAGTTTCTTGTGATCTTTTGTATTTTCTATAATTGAATGGAATTTTGATTAAAGGTAACTAGATCATTATTATGGAATAGAAGATATTTTTTTGTATTATTTAAGCTTAAGTAATACCATTTTATAGTGATATTGAATTTAAAAACAATATTTAATGACTTATAAATATTACTATTGTGCTATTGATCTATAGATTTGTGTTTTATATATATTAGTAATATAAATATAATTTTTATTATAATTTCCGATAATATAATAAATTTTATAAAAATATTGCTTAATTATATTATTTAACACTAGGGGCTTATCCAAAGTTTAGAAGAAAAAAAAGAAAATTTTAAGATATCTATCATCTTTAAAATATAGTTATTTATCAATTAATACTATTTGAAATATTTAAATTCTCAATCTCGATATCTTAATTAGTTATTAATTTGATTGTTCAAATAACTGAAATCCAATTAAAATTTTGCTTAAAAATATTTATATAACTTATTTGTTTTTTATTATTAGTTTTATTGACTTTGATATATCTTCATACAGTATTATAATAGATAGATTATTTGATAAGTTATAATAATATACTTTAATATTGTTTTTATTATATTAACTTAACTTTTCTTTCTAGAATGATATTTTATTCATTGAAGATTATTTACTATAACAATTCAAGTTTATTGTTACTAATTTTATTTAATAGACATGACGCAAATATGTTAAACGCGTGCATCTTGATGTCCGAGTTTATAGTTGAATTTCATTTATACTAGACATACTTATTCAACGTGCATAAAGTTTAGCGTATAACATTAAAGAGTCGACAAATAAAGTTACAGTATATACATATGCAAGATATTTTAATAACTATTAAACTTACTACAATTTTGACCGAATATTCAGATCATATAAAAAATTTTTTTTCTTTTCAAAAGTTTAACTTACTTATATCGTAGTTACGTATAATATGTTAACTCATCATCTTTCCTAATTCATTTCCTATTCATAATAATTAATATACAATATAAACTACGTTGAAAATATTAATGTTGATGAATTCCAATGAGATCATTGGAATTTGCTTAATAATCTCGTTTCTTGATTTTCACTTCAAACCCAATGCATTGCTTTAGTAGCGATTTACTGAATTTCAAAGGAGCCTCCTTATTCACCAGTTCGATATCATATTTTCTAAAGAACAAGGCTAGTGTAGCTTTCAATTGAAGCTTTGCCAAATTTCTTCCAGGACCTATTAAATAAACAAGGAAAAATTTCAATGCCTATTCTTTGTATACCCGAAAAATTTCCAGTGACTTACATTTTCTTACTCCGCCACCAAATATATAGACATCTTTTTTATAATCGGGGTGTGATTCGTCCATAAATCTGTCAGGGTTAAATAATTCTGGATCCTTCCAGTTTGATTTGTTTTTGCGAATTGCACGGAAGTTTATAAAGAATTCGGTATTTTCCGGAAACACATAGTCACCGATTTGTTCGGGTACTTTATTTTTCTTATTAATAAACGGTGTGATGGATGAAATTCTGCCAACTATTGATCAACAAGGTTAATACTGTATGGTTAATCTGGAAAGAATCAGATAAACACAGAAAATGAACTTAACCATTGTTATTTACCTTCTTTATAGACAGCGTCACAATAATACAATTTGTTAATACCTTCATAAGTTATTTGGGAATTTGGGTCTTTACCAAAAACAACGTCAAGTTCCTCTATTATTCGTTGCTTCACATTAGGATATTTGGATATCGTGTAAAATAGGTAGCAAATTGAATTTGTCAACTACGTAAATTATGATTCAGTATTAGTAGTTATCATTTAAGTTGTCATGCATTAATAATAAAATAAACAACAATACAGAAGTAGTTCCAGCGGAAGAAATTTCCATGAAAATTGGGGCAATTTCTTCATCAGTCATTGGTCTACTGTTGATGTCGTCCGCAATTCCTTTGGTGAAGTCACGTGAAGTGTTAACCGTTAAAAACATCGTTAAAAGATCGGGGGTCAACTGTTCGCTCTCGGGGGTCCTTTCAATTTCTTCCCTTCGAGCTTTAACAATTTTAAGAAGATTGCTCCTCAACCATTTAACTTGTTCCTTATATTTTTTTGTACGCTGACTAATTCCGGGGAGATTTCTGACGATTCTGGGGATTATTAAAAACCAAACTACGGCACTAGCAAATTCGGAAGCGCATTTCGAAACATATTCGTTTTCTTTTAATACAATATCAGAAACTTCTTTGTCTTTATTATGTGATATTTTGTTGTAGTAATTAGTCAGGGTGTGTAAGGATTTGCGTGTGGTAAGAAGGAATGTTATTTCCGAAAAAAGACTTCTCATCCATTCAGAGAAATCCAACACGGTTCCTTCTTCAAGCTTCATCCAATAATCCTCCATCTTCTGAAATGAAGTTTGTGTGCTAGTTAATGCCTGCCTCATAAAAGCTGGTGAGAAAATGGCTTTCGAATAAAATTTCCGAATGTATGCCCAATGTTCGTAGTCTATATTGAATGCTAATCCGGTATTGAGTACACCAATCTCACGGAGATCAGAGTCTTCGTTAAGTCGATTATGGAAATTGCCATTGATGGTTGGACTAAAGATTTTTTGCGTCAATTCTTCATTGCACAACCAGATTTTGCGTTTGGAGCCCATATAAATTTCGAACATGTCGCCATATTTGGCCTGCAGCTCTAAAGGCCAGATAGAGATGTCTCCGAAAATTGTAAAGATATTTCCGACAAGTGGTAAGGGGATGGGACCTGGGAGAGGACTCTCGCGAGTAAAATATTTATAATAGTAATGCGAAACATAAGCAATCAAAATGAGAATTAAAAGCGATGGAATGTCAATAGAAGCAAAAAAAGTCATTTTCACTGAAAACTATTGAGAAAAAAATTTTTATTAATAAGTGATGACAGTAAAATCACCTGCATCAACCGATCGAGGAAATAAGAGTTTACGTATACTGGTACGTATATACATTTCCATTTAAGATAACATTCAGATGGCTGGGTAAACATTCAACCATATTGCAACGCATACAATGCAAGTACGTATTTTTGAATTAAATTCCCGACCACTCAAGATAATTACTGTATCTAAGGAAAACAAATCATTTTCTAAATGCTCTTTTTAACAGAATCCCACTCGCGCAAAAAATAAAGTGACCAAAAATTTGATCATCATCGTGATAAAAGATTTCTCAAGTCAAATGAGGGCATGGTTTGTAAAAGAAAATTTTGCGACGAGTATTATTTGGATCAAATTTTTTCCACTCGAACGTTGCACCGGTGTACAAGCTTCTAAAGAAAAAATAAATTAGGCAATCGTACTAACCACAGAAAATACTGCAGTAGGCGATATGAATATCCGGTCTCCGCGACGTGGCTTTTAATCTCGGCAACATTTGGCCCGCCCCTCGAAAATTTTTTTGTATTCACTGTTGGTAATATACTGTAATTAATTTTTTTAAATATAATGATAAAATCGAATTTTAGATTATTTTACTGCATATATCCATTTGAAGTTTTTTTATTTTTAAAAAAAAAAATTTTTTAATTAATCAAATTCAATATCAAATTAAAATTACATTTAAATATTCAGCATACGTATACAGTATTATCGCAAAATGAAATAAAGTTTTAGAAATTTGAATTAATCAACTAATAAATTTTATAATTAATAAATAACCATTAGAAAAAAAAAATGCTTGCTTGAGTAAAAGCTTTTGCTAAGTCTCTGATTATACAAAACATAAAAAATGTTTGCATAAAGCCTTTTGACTTTTTGGCTAATAAGATCATAATACTTTCTTTAAAACAACTTGAAAAGTATTTACTGTATAAGGATTACTCTTGCCTTTTCCTTCTTGTTTACAAATATTTTTAATCAAAAACTTGACTTTTAATAATTAAAAATATTCAAATAATACCTTTACCTTCAATAGTAAAAAGTTGCCAAAGAAAAAAGAACTATTTGTGAAATATCTAAAGATTTTTTTATTTTTAAAATGAGTTGTCATAGAAGTTTTCTATGATGAAAGTGCTTATTTTCTCTCTTTACTGATTGTCTTGACCTTTTAGAATTTTCACTTTGATAATTTTTTAAAGAATTTTATTATCCTTAATTTTTAAATAATATAATTCTTACTAAAGTAATTGATTAATATGATTATATAAATTTTTAAATATAAATAAGTTCTTATTTATTATAATTATATATTTCAATAATATCATTGATAATATAAAAAAAAAACTTTAAAAAAAGTAATTTACGACTGAACAAGTTTTAAGAAAAACAATTATAATATTAGAAAATAAATAATAATATACAATATATCAATTATATTTTTTTATCAATTTTCTTAAATAATAAAAAAATTTTTTTTAAAAAAATATTGAAATTTTTAAGATCTTATTTTTAGTTAAATAGAATTTTCAAAAAAAAAAAATTATATTAATTAGATAAATCTTTTTAATATAATATTAATATAAAAAATATAACAAATAAATTTATATATTAATTGTAAAATAAGCTTCTCAAATACTTTTAAGAAGTCTTATATTTAAAATAATAAAGTATTTAAAAATTTTAAGCTAGAAAATTTATAAGTCAAATAGGTTTTCTTTAAAAAAATTTGTTTGATTTAATAAAATCTTTTCTTTTTTAGTTTTTCTTTGTTTATTAATTTAATAAATTATTATTTTTAGAACAATCTATAGTAAAAAACTATTGTAATAAATATAAAATCTAATATTAATTTACTAGAAAGGTGAAACATTGTTTTTTAAATATAATTTAAAACTGGTTTAATAGGCTTATTATATTTTTAAGTATATTAAAAATTTTTTTAATTTTCTTTTAAATTATTATATATTATATAATAATTTATTATATTAAAAAAATTATTATTATTATTTATTATAAAAAATTGATAAAAACTTTATTTATTAAATTTATAAATTTACAAATATAAATAAATAATTAATATAATATAAAATTATTTTGAGCTCTCATAAATCTATATTAAATTAATTAAATAAATAGTGGAAATGACATAATTATATTATTTTTACTTAATCTAGATTATTTCCCTCAGCTATGACATATAAATTACAAAATTCAAGTTATTTAAGTGATGGATGGATCATAAAACTCAAGTTATTTGAGTGGTTAAAAAATTATTAATATTAAATTTGACTTTCTAGTCGATTTTCGTTGGAAAGAAATACCCAAATTAAGTTATGACATACCATTATTCAATTGTTATTTCTACTAGTTCACAAATTTGTCATCACCTGATTTAATGTTTTTAATTAATTTAAATTATAAGATACCCTCCAATTTAGTTAAAATATACTAGGTTACTTCTGTATTTTCTATTATAACCTGAATTCGATAATGTTATATTATATACCAGTTCAATGTTTGTAAATGATTTCTGTTACAATAGAATAACGGATTTAGATTATGAAGTTCTCATATTGTTATCATGAGTTTAATAAATTAAATATATTTTATATATTATTTGATATTATACAATATATTGGCTTATAGTTCCCAATTGATTTTTATTATAATATAATAATCAAGTTAGGTTATACTAACTTGTTGGCTTTAATATGCATTTGATAAGTTAATTGTAATATTTGTACACTGGCTTGATGTTCATAACCAATTCCTATTACTGGGTCATATTAGCAAAAAAAAATATCAATAATACATTCAATTATATATTATCATTTGCTAGTCCAATGTTATTTACCTATTGTTATCAAATATACTATCAAACATATATATACAATTGCTAGAGACAAAGCCTTCTCACTTAATAAGTTAATTTATGCAGTATAATATAATTATTATTGAGAATACTATTAAACATATTGTCATGTAAATACACAAATGCTATTGGATTATACTATTAAAAAAAACTATTGATATATATTAACAAATACTGTATATATGTAAGATATACGTATTGTGAAAAACTCTTTCCGCTGATCCTCTGACTAATAATGGATCCCTAAAGTATTTAGCATATAAAATTTCGCAAATCACTTATGTCCTTTTTTGAGGGACAAAATTCATAACTCTTCA